ATATTCTTCCTGTAGCTGCATTTTAGTCCACTTTTATGATTACAAGTGTGAGATTAATACCAGGTGAGCGATTCAGGCCCATTGGGCCTCTTGTTTTAAAAATGCACTCGAAATGTTGTAACATGAATTTTACTTAAAGTCATTTAAATATTCAGAAATATCTTACGTATTTTTACTGTTCCATCTGTTTTCTTAAATCTGAAAATGCCCAATCTTTATGGGGTTTCCACCGAAGTGAGATCTGACAAATACATTCTTTTGTCAAGCAAATTAGCCGAATGACGTATTCTCTTTTGACCAGTGGTTATTCGATAATATCTCAGCTAAGCTTTGCTCTTTAGTCAAAATAATCCCTCAGCTGTTGAGAAACGCTGATGATATATCACAGGTTGAACAAAGTGTTTATTTTACGAATTAAGCTGAATTACAGGGTTTGACATCAATTAAATGTTTCATAAAAAGAATTGATATTTCGAAGTTGTTGGTTATCTGACTGGAAATTCTGTTATGACAACAGGAAAATACTTCTGGGTTACGGTAGGAGAGATTTGCTCGAATGCCTTTGGCGCCCGAGAGCTTTGCCCATACTGCTGAAAGAACTTCAAACCACTTTTTTGAAGTTTTTGGATATAAATCTTGATTTTTTGTTTGTTTATTTGGGGAAGGTTGAGAGGAGAATGTATATAGTAGACCGGAAATGGAAACGTGTTGTAATAGGAGCAGCATATAAATGTTGGTCTCTTCCACTTCTTCCTCGTAGAAGACACGGAAGAAAGTCCCTGATTCTGCAGGGGGGCCCACATTAGTCGCCTTTTATGATACATTTGCAGTGGGACAAAGCAGGTCTATTCTTGATTTCCTCAATATCCCGGTAGTAGGATACAAGGAAGGAATGACCCCCGAATTTGCAGGGGTCCCATATTAGTCGCCTCGCACGATCACGTAGTGGAATTAACGTCATTTAAACCTACATGGTTTGAGTTGGAACAAAAAGATACTTCTACTTTTTCTTTTTATTGCCACCACAACGACAATCATCTGCAGCACAATACTACATTGACGCATAGCGTTCCCTCATTTCTAACAAACGATAAACACGAATAACAATGAGTTAACGAACAAGACGGTATACTATTGACCTGTAGATCATTAGTAACCGGAACACAAACAATACACAGAAAGGAACAATGCGTAATCGATTTATATTCTTTAATAGATAATATATTTTCTTCAACAAAATAAATCTTCAAATCTTTTCATTATTTTATGTGTAACACATATCAGAAATAGAAATATTCATTTACATCGAATAACAAACAGGCTCAGATCCTTAAAATAAAGTTGCAAGTAAATGCATTGTAATATTCGACTTATTCTATTTTTTAAATAGGCTCCGCTTTCCTTTGTTTTTTTCTCTCTTGAGTAATTCGTGGTATTACTCAAGCTGAAGGAAAAGCAAATTGATGTCTCTGGGAAAAGATACCGAAATATAAGTTTGCCAAACTTAATGTCCGCGAAATCTTAGTGATCTAAAAGTATATGTGTATAAGGCACATCTGTGATATACTACTGTGAAAAACCCCGCTTTTTACATCAACATTCTCCATTTTCAAGAAAGGATAAATAAAACATTCAGAGAAGACAGCAACTCACAAAATAGTATGCTAAAAGTGAGGTACAAAAAAGCAGGAAGACATTTGATAATATGATTTAACGCAGATTGTGGATAATACCTTACCATGACAAAAATAGACATGGTTTTCCATTTTAAGCACCGTAATTAATACATTAATATTTATATTCCCTCTGTAAATTGCTAAGATAAAGCTACCAACCAATATGATTTTATAATCCCTCAACAGCAAGAACCATTACCGGTGAATATTTTCCAAATCGAAACTGTTCGGATTTTCCCATCAAACTGTTGGAGTAATCGAGGAGCAATCACAATGCGAGGTCAAATTTAGTTTTGACAGAAATTCACAAATAGTTCCCGATTGTGTAGCACGACACAATCACAGAAAACACGATCTTGTTCCCGCAAAAACGGCTGTTCTGCCATTTAGTTCGACAGATTGTTTAAAATGTATATTCTGAACCGAAACTTTTCAGTCATACATATTCACCTTAAATATCAATGCATTTATAATGAATATATACTGGATACCGGGAAAATTTTGCCCCGTCAGTTATTCGCCCTTTCTTGGTAAAATCTATTTTCGCCTAGTGTAAATTCACCCTTCATAATTATGTAGTTACTATATATGGTAAACCGTTTACTAATATTTGCTTTATAGACAAATTTGCCCTTATTACGGAGGACGATAAAAGGCGACAATTAAACTTCAGCGAATATTTCCCGGTATACAGCAGTACAAACATATTAACACATTATAATTACTTTTACTAAAACAGTAACTTACAAATGTATAATTACATCTAAAATGATTACACAAGAATATTTTGTTCGTAAGAAATATATTTAATCCCCTCACATGAACGTTCTTCTCTTGTTCTGCGGCAGTTTTGTTTAGGCCGTTAATATAAAAATAAATCATGGTCTGCTAAGCAAAAAGACGTTTAAATAAAAGTTAAAAATATGTGGAAAAATCATTCATAAATCAACTTTAATGATGTGTACACAATGCTATTTGATTAAAACCAGATCTTAAACTTGCAATTTACCAGCAGAACTCGTTGACTATTGTGGAAATGAAGATATAGTTTTATCAAGTTGTACACAAAATAAATACGTTTTTATCAAATGAACACATTTTGTATCTATATTATACAGTGAAATCTGTCTCTTAGAATACAGTAATATCAGTCGAAGGAAAACTATCGTATAAGACCTGTGTATTCCAGCATCATGTTCAATCTGACCGACATGTAGTGTCGGATAAGGTAGGATATATGGTACTCAATTATCTGAAATACACGAACATTTAACGACTTCTTATAACGTGACTAATACATTACGGACATATACTATTATCGTGTTCATTATAAATTATCACACTGTGTCGGAGAACGATGGTCTCATCGCTAGTTCATGGATAAGGCCAAACATGTCTGTTCAGGTATCCCGACCGACCCTAGTGTTTACCATCAACTCTAACAGTGTTTCTCACCCGAACGCAACCCATCCAGTGGGATAAGTTGTCCACCGGAGGCAAACAAACTAAAGGACAAACAAACAGGGCACCTATGTATATACCATGTCTACTTCATAAGCAGGTATCAAAACCAAATTTAAACCTTAAAATATGTTTGGTGATTTTTGCAATTTCTTAAATTAGCCTCATCTAAACTCCAATCCAACCCACTTGAAAAAAGGGGGAGGGGATGAAAGAAAAATAAATCCCGACCTACCTACCCTTTCTCAGTTATGTTACCCCTATCCTAATTTTCCCAGTTGTAACCAAAAACATAATACTTTTTGGGACCTTAAATTAAGAGGCCACTACACAAGAAAGCGATTAGAAAATTGTTTCCTAGACAAACCCTGAAATTAAAACCTTGTGACAAACTGTTTATCATCTGTTTACTACCTCCTTATATATTTTACAGGATCCAATGTAAACCAATACAAGATTATACTGGAGGAAAATCACAAATTCTTAAACTATTGAGAAAAAAATGATTAAATAAATTTGTTTTGACCCGGTTGATGATGTCACCTGGAGTAAGACGCCATTCTATTTAAAGAAAACAGACTTTCCGAAATAGGAAATTTTACTCTCATGTTGTTTTAAATCTGTAGTACATTAATAAAAAATAATGTGTAGATGAAATATTTATGTAACTGCTTTGAACAGTGAATACAGACAATTAATAAAACTAACTACAGCAAAGAACAAAATAACCATACAAGTTCAGATTACATAAATTGTCGCCAATTCTCCATTCATATATAACGATTTGTCAGGCAATATATCTGAACTCCATTTAAATATAAACATCCCCCAATTCTCTCCCTCTCCTTCTCGTTCTGTATCTATAAAAAACACATAATATCTCAATGCACCCTCCCTCTCTCTCTCTCTCTCTCTCTCTATATATATATTAACATCCACATTGTGCATTCTTTTTGATATCCTGTGAAATCACTAATTTTCGTGGATTGTTTTTTATTTGATTGATTTCGTGGGGAGCCTTCAATTACGAATTCATAGGTCCACGAAGTAATCACAAGTTTGATATGAAGGGATTTTTCTGTCTGAGTAGAAACTCGTAATTCACGAATTCATGTACCAACGAAATGGAGTTTTGTCGGGAAACCACGATATTTGGGCCCCACGGAATATTTGATTCCACACTCTTTGGCCAATAAGTTCAATTAGTGGAAATAATTGTTGTTTTTTTTTAAATTGAAACCTTTTGGTTGGTTCACTATTCGGTAGATTGCGACAAATCTCGTTCTACGAATTGGCAACTTCCAGTGACCCGTGCAAGTTTCTCAAACTCACAGGAAGTCGAGTTATCTGTGCTTAGCTGGTCTGTTGTCCCTAGAGTTATGTCCTGTGCTCCTACAATTGAAATAAAAGACTTTATATACATATTGATATCTTATATATTGTCATCACATCAACTTTTCAAACCATTCACATAACTGTCTCCAGTTTTTCCCGTCTATGGAAGGATTTCTCTGTTATCTATAGTGTAGGGTTTCTCTGTCAGCCCCTAGAGTATGCCTTTTCTGTCACCTCTAGGGTATGCTTTTTTGTCACCACCTAATATATAGTTTCTCTGTCACCCCCTAGAGTATGCTTTTTCTGTCACCTCTAGGGTATGCTTTCTCTGTCACCACCTAATATATAGTTTCCCTGTCATCCCCTAGAGTGTGCTTTTTCTGTCACCTCTAGGGTATGCTTTCTCTGTCACCACCTAATATATAGTTTCTCTGTCATCTCCTAGGGTATGATTTCCCTGTCACCACTAGGGTATATGATTTCTCTGTCACCTCTAGGTTATGATTTCTCTGTCACCCTCTAGGGTATGATTTCTCCGTTACCCTCAAGGGTATGATTTTTCTGTCACCCCTATGATAGATTTTCTCTGTCACCTCTAGGGTATGATTTCTCTATCACCTATATGATATAGTTTCTCTGTCACCCCCTAATGACTTTATGCTGGCATATAATGGCTGAAAACATAAAAAAACCCTACTTACAGAAATTGTCGTTGTAACGTGGTTTGTTTAATCCTCATCATATGCGCGGCCTCGTTTTCTTCGGGCTGAGAAATACAAAAATACATCCATACAGTCTTGGTTAGACAACTATATCTCTTTTTACTATCAATACTTAACTATATCATGGGAAGTTTTTGCTAAGTTATTATTTCGTCTTTTGTAGAAAAAATATTCTGTCACCAATATGGGCCAATGGCTGCCTTCTCAAATGTTAGTACGGCAGTACGTAAACATTAAAGAGTCTCTGTAATACAAGGTACAAAGTTTGAAGATAATCACAGATTACACCAACACAATGAAAGTGACACAATTTTCATCTTAAAATCACAAAATGTATATAGGGATTGAATCTGGAATTTTTCAGTGTTCATGCAAGTATAAACGGGGCAAATTTACTTACACACCCCATGAGCGGCCGTAGTATTTACTTACACACAAAATGATCGGCAGAAGCGAAGCGACGGCCGTTCATCTGAAGTTTGTAAACGAACTTTTCATCGTTCATACTTGCTTGAACACTGGAAAAATCCAGATTCAATCCCTATAATTCCAAATCACTTTCAATTGGAAGGAAAACAAAAAATATCATTTGAATTACGATTTAATGTAGTACTACAGTATGACGTAACATCGCAACGACATTTTGGGCATCTCGAAACTAATTCACGTGAACATTTTCCCACAACCACTTCGTCTTGCTTAAGCGACCTTGTTGAGAAAAACATTAATTCCAAGCCCGCGTTCCTTAGGGTTCGGTTGTTTGTAATCTCGGCCTCACTATGTGCGGCGTAAGTAGGCCTAACGTCACTGTACCTAAATCGGGACACTTTTTAGATAAATATCAATGTTCTTTATACCATACTATCAGTTTCGAAAATGTTTGTTCACTCTTTCATAAACAGATACTATCCACTTTTCGTTTATATTACAAGTTGATGTTTCAGGCGCATGGTTCTATAAATACACGCGAAATACTATCAGGGTTACGTAGGTCCTTGAACCGGCGTAACAGTTCCCTGAAAGGGACACTTCGGTATTTTGGCGAATATTTGGGGATAAACAATCAATATCGGCAGAAAAATTTGCATAGTTGATATATTTTAGAGTCAACGAGGGTTATGATTAAATTATCTCTCCAAACTAGCACTAGGTTTGATTAAATAGACTTTTGAAAATGATATCCAAATAAAAGGCGTCGCACGGCACGTAAATAAGAAAAGTTATGTTTTGGTAATTATTCTTACCTTTAAAATACCCATGTAACGATAATCAGCAGCCAATAAAGATTATGTACAGTTAAATTGTCATAAAAGTATTATTGAATGAAAACTGTATACATAAAAGTACTTCTTTGCATTACATGACAGTTTCTTGGGCCGTTTTCCCACAAGTGTTCCATTTTGGGTGTTGTCTCGATTTGGGTACAGTGACGTTAGTGTTCGTCATGTTCGTTGGAATTCATGGATAATACAGTATATGTTTTGAAAGTCACCTCATTTGATACTTTCTTATATTGGAAACGTACAGATTAATTCCTTATATAGTCTATATTTTGATCACTGTTGCGGACCAATATGTGACATCGAAATAATGTCAGTTTGAGCTTTGTCGAATTGATATAGTCGATTCGTCAGACGACAGAACGTGTCACTGTTGTGAATATGGTCAACTGTAATTTGAAATGATTTATTTGTAAAACTGCCAATACTTAAGATAAACAATGAGACAAATAAAAAATAAAAAAAATAAACAGTAGATCTTGCATTTTGTTCAAGGCGAGTTTAGTTTAGGCATTGGGAGGCAACTCGAAAGACAATACAATTGCTTACTGGCAAAATGGTGATTTTGAAAACCTTAAAAGTAGTCCTTTGGAAAAAAACAGTTGTTCATACTAATATCAACAGCTGTTTTTATGGGTCACATTTACTACTTTTAACCAATCACAGAACCTGTAACAAAGTGCAAAATCAAATTTGGAATTATATTAATGTTCATTCAATGACACATAAATTCGTGCTAAATTTAACGTCATCGCCTGCTTTGTGACGTCATACTTGACACTCACGCGTTTCATGATAATCGTTTCTGTAGTATGGCAGGGTTTCAATTGAAGCCGGCATGAATTTCCGAGAATCGCTGAGATCCAGACCGTTATTGTCGTAAAACGCTGGCTGATGGCTCCAACTGGGCACGTTAGCATGGAAACGCGTCGGCATAAAAGTCGGTGTCCCGGGCCTGAAAAAGTCAACATATAGAAATAACGATGCAAAGCATAACAATGACATACATAAACAGTAGAATACGATAGAATTGTGTATATTTGTTCTCCTAAAAATAGTCCTAATCTTCCAGGCTCTGCGAATCTTGCAGTCGGCCGTTTTGTTTGCTTGACAAGTAATGAATACTATAAGTTTCAACTTCATCGCTAAAATATTTGCAGCTAATTGGATATTCAAAATGATCGTCAATGACGTCATCAAACAAAGATGCAGGTGTTCAAGTAGCTCAATGTACGTAATTATTTAATCAAAATGGCCGCCAAATTGGGGTCTATAGCAACTACTTGTATTTGCAACTCTTATATCTAATGACAGTAAAGAAGGGAAATTAACCAGCGTCAAAACAAAACAAAAAGCTTAGTTATCTTACATGTTGATGCAATATACTATAAGCAGTGACATTGTCCACGAAGTGTCACAATGTTGCTGGCTAGATAACTATGTATGACGATGTCTAATTCACCAATTAAGTATGTGTTGTATTTGATTTAAACATATTTCATTGTCTTAAAATAGAAATGGGTTTGGGCACAAGTCATTCAACTTATACAAAACCATTTCCTGTGTTTTGTTTGAAGTGGTGATACCTCAATGTATTTTTCGTTGTTTGATGTCGTCTGCTTCGACTTCTCATGCACATCCATATCAAAACTATAATGACGAGGAGAAGGACGGCAGTCACACCAAATCCGATACCCACAAGGACACCCAAATCGTCTGTGGAAAAAATAACGATGGAGATTCGAAGTGTCACTAAAACCATTATTTGTATGCAAAACAATAAAATTAAAAAAAACTATGAACTTAAGTCAAAATATGAAAAAGGTAAGATTTACACAGAGACCGTGGGGAATGCACAAGGGTAAGCGTCTTCTGCCTTATCGACAATCCCCGCCTGTAAATTCTACGTCAAACATAAGTAATGTTACGTCTTCATAACGAGAACCGGGGTATTGGTACCGAACAACAATGCACATATGTATAAGCATGATCAAAAAAATTCACCTTCATATCACATAAAGAAATATCATATTTCCCGATGAAATCATGATTATTGCGACAATAAAGCTTGCGAATAGTCCTTATCAATCTGCATCTTTGCAAACCGGTTTTGTATAACTTTGTCCATCTTGCACTTACATCGCCCATTTGCATATTCAAATTGTCTTCTCTTAACTTTTTCCATTCGACAAAATTAAAGACGGAATTGTACATTTTACAGACTAGCCTATCTTGTTTTAGAGAAACAGCATCGCCTTGTTCAAATACTCCTCTTTCCACTTCATTAACTCCTTCACCACTGAAGACACACTTGAACTCTTACAATTCAAAGTATGGAATAGTTCACTATGAAATTGCAGGGGTGAATGGGTTAAACATATTATTTACACGAATTTCAGTAGGAATTGTATAATGATGAATGATTAGGTGGCCGTAGGAATATGAATATATTAGCATTGCGGTACTTTACTTTATCATTATACCAAATATAACAGTTATCATTTTACAAGGAAAATCACAAGTATATTGAAATTAAAAACAATCTTACCTGAAGGTTGCTGGATTGTTCTGAAAAATAGAAATAAATAGAGAAGATTTAGGAAATACATATCAGTAATAAATGTGGCTTTAAATGTGCAGCAATTTAATATAACTTACGAAATACACGTTTAATTTTGTTTTATGCTATATTACATGGTATTCACATATTGGTTTTTGATTTTTTTCCCCGTTACCCAACCAATAAGTGTTTCAATGTGACGTTTCGATGACTAGTACGGTGTGTACTCTTTCATCTTCATCAGACAAATGACCAGTGAAACGTATGCACACAAAGGTGTAAAATGTGAACGAGTTTTCCTCAAATCGATGTCGATTCGGATACGCTGTAAGCGTATGTACAATAGTTGCTATAAATGTGCCGAAATGACTCGATTCAGCTACGCTATGTTTGATGGTCGTAGATGTGCATCCCCTTATCTCGATTGAGAACTGGTCCCCTCCGGCGTATCCATTATCCATACTTACCAACATGAAGAAAATGTTAAGAAATATCCAAACAAAGTACGGACAAGTTATTGTCAAAGATGTGCAGAAATTAGAGGGCATAGAAAAGAAATTAGCCAAACATAGAAATCACATTGTATTAACGCTGAGTTGTAGACTTGTATACAACACCTTCAAGTCTGAATATTAGGGCCCAGTTAATACAATAAATGCTAGGAATATCATCGAGAAAGCACAGAAAGATCTAGTGAAAGAGGGAATACGGGTCAAGCTTGACCTAACCCCACTCACCGAAAAACTAACCCAACGCTTATCGAGAGACACTGCAGGGGATATGAACAAACACATACAGCTTATAGGTGAACGAGCGTTCGACACGACCAAACAACGCCACTTGAATAAATTAAACCGTCTTGTAGATAAATCAGCATAACACTAATACAGATGCAGCTCTGAATGAACGGTTCTATGCTAAAGAAATGGGTAGTCAACATAATAAGGAGCTCACCAATAGCGAGAAAACGTAACTCGCTAAGGGTATGAACTATGCCATTTTTCCAGATAAAATCCAAGTTGATGATATTGTTATAGCCACAACAAGCATGTACGAAACTAAGCTAAGCTGAGGCTGATTAACTGAGATCCAAGGTGACGAGGTTTATGAATTCCACAAAATTACCAACAAGTAACATGACGAAAGAAGAACGGGTCGCACTCCAAAAATTAGGCAGAGACAAATCCGTTACGGTAATACCAGCTGACAAGGGGAAGGCAACCTTTATCAACCGTCTCCAACATTATCTACTACACGTCTTTCATTCAAGGTGATATAAACATAAAGAGTAACATTCGAGCATATACGATATAATTGGCACATATACAGAAAGGTTTCCTTTGATTAGATCGTTAAGAGTTCAAACAAAACCATCAATATTGCCAAAACTCACAAACAGGTGGCGCTGCCTCCAACCACCTCACAGGTTTTCCCGTCACCACATCCGGTCGTTGACGTCGAGGCAAACACGTCACAGGGGTTAGAGTTCACTGTTATCGGAACTGCAAAACGAAGATGACAGTTGTTTAGGTGAATTCATTTAGCAATACAATTCAATCCAACGGAAAACAAGCAATATACAAATATCATATGCTATAGTAGTTTTTCGTAACTGGAAATCTGGAATTGATGAGTAATTTGTTTATTAAANAAGGTGTACCAATGGTCTATAATAAGTGCTTGTGACCAGGTATCTCAATGGTCTATGTTTAGTGTTTGTGACCAAGTATCTCAATGGTCTATAGTAAGTGCTTGTGACCAGGTATATCAATGGTCTATAGTACATATGTAAGTGTTTGTGACCATGTATATTAATGGTCTAAAGTTAGTGTTTGTGACCAGGTATATCAATGGTCTATAGTATAGTGCATATTGTTCAAAGCACAGGGACGTGCGAAATTGTTACAGCTATATTTGGACCTACTAAGGTGTTTAGAGTAATTTTACACGTTTGGTTGGTTCAGATCAATTTTCGGTAAAAATGCCACCCCCATTGATGATAATATTATATGATCGTATATTATCATCATTGGGGCTGGCATTTTACCAAAAATTGATATATCCCCCCCCCCCAAATTACTCTAAACACCTTAATGCAGTACAAATAAAGCTGTAACAAATTCTCAGGTCCTTGTGGTTCAAAGTAGTAACTATGACGGTCTGTTAATGTGAGTGCACGGCACGTATCCAAGGTTATTGTTATTATGTACATATAGATAAATCCTAGATCTAAGTTAGATATCTAGAAAATGTTATTTTTGATTTTACTTTTCATCACGTTAGGGCGAATCAGAGACAAGTGCACCATACCTCTTTATATTTATGGACTTTCTAACGTGACGTCACAAACGTCACATCGTAAGTGCTTGTGACCAGGTATCTCAATGGTCTATTGTAAGTGCT